CAGAAGTTCATTGTGGACTGGGCTGAAGGGAAAGAGAATCAGGATATCCAGCTCATGTTTCCACCATCAGAACTGTGCTGACAAAGGGAGTCGCTGGCATTGGAAAAACAGTCTCTGTGCAGAAGTTCATTGTGGACTGGGCTGAAGGGAAAGAGAATCAGGACGTCCAGCTCATATTTCCACTTCCTTTCAGAGAAATCAACCTGATGAAGGACAAAACACTCAGTCTTTCAGATCTACTTCATGTCTTTTTCCCTGAAACCAAAGAAATGGAAATATCCAGTGATGAATATAAAGTGTTGTTCATTTTTGATGGTCTGGATGAATGTCATCTGTCTCTGGATTTTCAGAGCGATGTGAGGTTGCGTGATGTAAGTGAATCAGCCTCAGTGGATGTGCTGCTGATGAACCTCATTGTGGGCAATCTGCTTCCCTCTGCTCTCATCTGGATCACCTCCAGACCAGCAGCAGCTGATCTCATTCCCTCTGAGTGTGTCCATCGAGTGACAGAGGTACGAGGCTTCAGTGATCAACAGGAGGAGGAATACTTCAGGACCAACATCAAACGTGAGAAGGACTATGAGAAGAAAGTCAAAGATGAAGACATGATTGTCAAACTGGGGAAACTGGCTTTCGAGCAGCTTGTGAAAGGCAACCTGATCTTCTATGAGGAAGACCTGAGAGAGTGTGGCATTGATGTGACAGAAGCATCACTGTACTCAGGATTGTGCACTCAGATCTTCAGAGAGGAGTTGGGCTTGTATCAGGGGAAAGTCTTCTGCTTTGTTCATCTGAGCATCCAGGAACATCTAGCAGCTCTATATGTGCCCCTCTCCTTTACTAAGAACAACGTAAATGTGTTTGACCGAACTGAACAAAGTCAGTTTCCTAAAATTTTTAACCAGAACAAATCATTATCTAGCTTGCATCAGAGAGCTGTGGATGAGGCTTTACAGAGTAAGAATGGACATCTGGATATTTTCCTGCGTTTTCTTCTGGGTCTCTCATTGGAGTCCACAGGAAGCTGCTTCTACAACAAAGAGGAAACAGTTGAGTACATCAAGCAGAAGATCAGGAGGAATCGCTCTCCAGAGAGATCCATCAATCTCTTCCACTGTCTGAATGAACTGGGTGATGATTCACTGATGCAGGAGATCCAAGATTATCTGAAATCTGGAAAAATAAGAGAAACCAAACTCTCCTCTTCACAGTGGTCAGCTCTGGTTTGTGTGTTGCTGACATCAGAGCAGAAGATGGATGTTTTTGATCTAAACCAGTTTATTGGAGCACACAATACAGCAGATGAAGTTCTTCAGAAGCTGCTGCCTGTGGTTAAAGAATCCAGATCAGTTCAGTTACAATGACAGCAATCACTACAATGACAAAACACGATCACGTTTATGATTTTAGCATGTGCTTTCTTACCAAAGCAACAAAATGATAAATTCATATATGTCATATATATATTTTATACCAGAACTGAGAGTGTGAAGAGTGTCATTGTTCTCTACAGGTTGAGGGATTGTGGCGTCACAGATGAAGGTTGTGCTGCTCTGGCTTCAGCTCTGAGATCAAACCCCTCACACCTCAGAGAACTGGATCTGAACTATAATAACATAGGAGACACAGGAATTAATCTGCTTTCTGCTGGACTAAAAGATGTTCATTGTAGACTAGAGAAACTGATGTAAGAGTGTATAAAATTACAAAATCCTCCTTCATTCTCATCGTACTGTGAATATAGAGTACAAAAAAAAACACCTTCAGATAACTGAAGAGAATGTTTCCTTAAACTTAATTAGAATAATTGTGTTATAAAAAGTGTCTGACATCATTTTAATTACATTTTCATGCATGCATCTAGCAGATGTTTTTATCCAAGGCGACTTGCATTGCATTCAGGGTAAACATTTTATTGTTTCTTGCATTCCTTGGGAATTGAACCAATGATATTGGTGTTGCTTGTGCCGTGCTCTACTGTTTGAGCAACAAGATTTATATCATAACTTCACATCATCTATATATTGTTGTAATGACAACTGCTTTCATTTGATACAGATGTGTTGATGATTTTGGAGTAAAATGAAAGATCCTTAACATTATGATACTGAAATGAATCTCCTCAAGCACCGTGTAGAAGCTGGTCTGAATCTTAGACTGAATTAAGTCTCTCTCTCTGATTGTGAAGTTTCTGCTAATCTGATCTGTAAATCCTGAACTAAGAGACTGAAGAGTGTCATTGTTCTCTACAGGTTGAATCATTGTGGTGTCACAGATGAAGGCTGTGCTGCTCTGGCTTCAGCTCTGAGATCAAACCCCTCACATCTAAAACACTTGGATCAGTCTGGAAATGAAATGGGAGTTTTTGGAGTCAAGCAGCTTTCTGATCTACTGCAGGATCCTCTTTGTGAACTGAAAATACTGAGGTAAGTTTGTATAAAATGTCTCAAGATCCTCCTTTCCATGAGCACACATAAACTAATTTGAGGTACAACAGTTTTGTCCACAGAGACGGTGTGAGCCTGTGACTATACATGGACGGAGTGCATACATCCATATCACACACGCATATAACCAAATGCCGTGTTAACATGGTTTTTATGCATTACACCTTCTATATAGAGTCTATAGTTATGTGATTTATGTGCTTAATGTGTGTATCAATACAAGTTAGCAGCAGTTTTCTGCTGTAAGTATAATCTAATATCTCCTAATTATTAATAGGAATAACCACATACACACAAGAGTCATTTTCCAAATCTGTATAGTTAAAATTCTAGTTCATTTATACAGTGTATAAATTTGACGTTCAAGATGGCTGCCTCGGTATGTAGCTCCTTGGTACTTTTACTATTTTTGTTTGTCCCGTTTAAAGTAGATTTTTTTCCATTCAGCTTTACTATAGGGACAAACTCCTAGACAACAGAAATAGCACACCAAATAACTTTTTGCCGACAATTGAACAATCTGACGTTTTACTCCACATTCTAGTCGGAGGAGCTGTGATCCGGTAAAAACGCTCCAAGTGACGCAAATGAGGGAAGCGTGCTGGTGCGCTCGTGAAATTCCAACAGCGTGGTGTTAGGACTCCACTGCTGAGCATTCATCTGGCGAATCTCCTCTCCCTAGTAAATAAAACGAACAAACTACTACTCCTCACCTGCACAAACAAGGACTTTTTAAACTCTGCTGCCCTTTCCTTCACGGAAACCGGGTTGAACGGAGCCAACCCAGACAGCGCACATCATCTAACAGGTTTCCGGCTGTTCAGAGCGGATTGAGTCACTGAGTCATCGGGGAAAACAAGATTATGTTTTTATATCAACGATGGCTGGTGTACAGCTGCGACAGTTTTAAAGAAGATGTGCTGCCCAAATTTGGAAGCTCTCTTCATTAACTGTAAACTTTTTTATTTGCCGCGGGAGTTTTCCTCGTTTTTTCTGGTGAGTGCATACATTCCTCCCGACGCGTGTGTGAGCATGGCCCTAGAATAGCTGGCTGATCAGATCACACACACACAGCAGCATTACCCAGACTCTTTCATTATCATTCTCTGTGATTTTAATAAAGCTAATCTCACCCGAGAACTGCCTAAATACATACAGCACATCACATGGCCCCCAGGGGGCGGCTCTGGGACTCTCTGATCACTGTTTGGTTCATCTTCTACCAGCCTACAAGCAGAAATGTAAATCTGCTAAGCCAGTAGTAAGAACTGTAAAGAGATGGACAAATGAAGCAGAGCGGGATTTACAAGCCTGCTTCAACTGCACTGAATGGAGTGTTTTTGAGGCTGCAGCCACTAATTTCTCTAGCTCACTGACACCGTGACATCCTACATCAGTTTCTGTGAGGACGTCTGTTTCCACTAGGACTTATTTAACATTTAACAATGACAAAACTTGGTTCAATGCAACACTCAAACAGCAAATCACCAGTCCAAAGAGGATGCCTACAGCCCAAATACACACTGAAAAGGGAGATAAGAGTGGCTATGAGAAACTACTCTAAAAAGCTGAAAAAAGTTTTCAAGCAACTACCCTACATTAGAGTGGAAGGACCAGAAAGCCGTCACCAGCTACAAGACATCATCCCCCACCACTATGGAGAATAAACTTTTAGCCAAGTGTTTGAATGAGTTTTGCAGGTTTGAAAAGCCTGGTCTCACACCCACACCCGCTCTGACCGTCTCACAACACAGCCATCAACACCTCCCTCCCCTCTAATGCTTCTCAGCCTGCACATCAGATCTGTGAAGATGATGTATGCAAAGTCTTCAGGAAACAGAAGATGAGGAAAACCAAAGGCCCACACAATGTCTCTCCAGCCAGCCTCAAAGCCTGTGCTGTCCAGCTGTCATCCATCTTCACACTGATCTTCAACAGATCACTGGAGCTGTGTGAAGTCCCATCCTGCTTCAAATGTTCCACCATCATCCCTGTACCTAAGAAACCAAAAATCACAGGACTAAATGACTACAGACCTGTTGCTTTAATGTCTGTGGTCATGAAGTGGCAGCAGTGGAGTCATTCAGATTCCTGGGCACCACCATCTCAAAGGACCATGTGGGACATTCACATTGACTCCATTGTGAAAAAGGCCCAGCAGAGGTTGTACTTCCTTCGTCAACTGAAAAAGTTCAACCTGCTACAGGCGCAGATGAGTTTTACTCAGCTGTTATTGAGTCGGTTGTGTGCACTTCTATAACTGTCTGGTTTGGGTCAGCCAACAAATCATATATAAGAAGACGGACTGTTAGGACAGCTGAAAGGACAATTGGTGTGAAACCTTTAGGACTTCTACAACTCCAGAGTGAAGAAATGGCCAGGTAACAGGTTATAAAGCCATCATCCAATGAGTGGAATAACCCCATCATGCTTGGACCTAAAAAAAAGGATAATTCAGCTTTTGCCTAGACTTTCAGAGCTTCAACTCATTGAGTAAATTTGATCTTACCCCATGCCCAGAGTGGATGAGTTGATAGACAAACTTGGTAGCGCAAAATTCTTCACAACCATTGATCTATCAAAAGGCTATTGGCAAGAGCCCTTAAGTCCAGACAGCAAAGAACTTACAGCTTTCAAAACTCCATTTGGACACTATAATTTCCGGGTTCCTCCTTCATGGAGCCACTGCCACCTTTCAGAGGATGATTGATCAGATCCTCTGGGGCACTCAAGATTTCGCCCCGCCACCGCATACTTGGATGACATTATCATCTATATTAAGACTTGGCAGAACCATCTGCAGCATCTCAAGGAAGTGCTATCCAGGATAAAGGCAGCTGGACTTACCATTCATCCAGACAAGTGCACCATAGCCAAAACTGAGACCTGCTACATTAGTCATGTGCTGCAATCCTATACAAGTGCTCCAAGCGATAAATGAGGGAAGCATGCTAGTGCGTTTGTGGAATTCCGACAGCATGGTTTTAGGCCTCCGCTGCCAAGCATTCATCTGGCGAATCTCCTCTCCCTAGCAAACAAAACAGATGAATTACAACTACTCACCCGCACAAACAAGGACTTTTTAAACTGGGACATGGAGTCGTACGCCCTCAAGTTGGTAAGGTTGAGGCCATTAAACATGCAGAGCGCCCTACAACATCAAAAAAATAGTTTTTAATGAGATTCATTTAAAAACGTGCTCATTCATTCCGGAGCGAACACCTACTGTCTTTTGCTCTGAGGATAATTTAGTTGTGGCTTTGAAAATACTTTCATTAGTGGAGTAAAAACAGAGAAAGTAACTGGCAATATTGTATTTTTAATGTATGCTATTGAACTGTTGTATCAGACTCACAATTGTGCTGTTGGTCTGAATATCTGCACAAATTTGATTACCAGCAGCCTCGTGCCTACAGACAAATAACAAAACATCAGAACAGAAAATGTTTTTTTTTAATTTTATTTTTTAAGTTAATTAGTTTATTGGAGCACAAAATAGGAAGGAAAAATGAAGTTCTTTTTCTGCTGCCTGTGGTCAAGTAATCCACACAAGGATAAAAATGAGCAGCAACAGTGTATTTTTTGTATATTGATGCTGTGTGTTTAGGACTGTTTGTCCTGTAATAATGTTTATGTGAATGTTGTATTGCCTCTATAAATCTGTAGTTTACACATTTTATTTTATAATTGCAGTTAGTATCAGTTCACCATGCATCTTTAATCTCTACAGGTTGTGTAAGTGTGGTGTCACAGATGAAGGTTGTGCTGCTCTGGCTTCAGCTCTGAGATCAAACCCCTCACACCTGAGAGAACTGGATCTGTCTGGAAACAAACTAGGAGCATCAGGACTGAATCTGCTCTCTGATGGACTGAAGGATTCTCACTGTAAACTGGAAACACTGTGGTAAGTTGGTATAAAGGTCAATAATGAATAAAAGAATCAAAAACTAAATACAATTTAAAAAATTTCATGATTATGTAATTTTAGAGTTTGCTTAATCTTCATTAGATTCTTTCCAAAATTGACAGTTTTTACTTCAGAACCCTCTGCTTTGTGTTGGGTCCTGATCAGGTTTATTTGTTATAAGAACCATCGGGTTGTATGTTATCTAGCTTATTATAGTACTTGCCACATAAGTAAATAATTGGAGACAAATTATTGATTTGAGTTAAAATATTTTATCACAAAACTCAATGCCAGCTAGCAACCAAACCAAGGCTAGCGAACAAGCTCAAGCAAGACGGGACCATTTAATGGATAATATACAGTTGTATCACTTACTACACAGCTTTTCACTAAATGAGTAATTTTGTAGACGAGAGATTTACTTGAGTTGAAAATGTTTCAAAAACCTACGTGTTTAGTAATCAGTTGCAGTGCACAAAAACATTCTGGCAACAATATTATATTGCAATTGCATTACTCCTTTGATTTCATTTTTAATTAAACTCATAACTGATGCAAAATAGCACATGATGTAGTTGTATACATGATGAACAGAGTACAGAACAGAGTAGACAGACCATTGCCTAACCCTAACAACCCACTGTGCTAGTTTAAGTTTCTTTTTTCTGATAGTGAAGTTCCCGCTTACCTGAGCTGTAGATCCAGAACTGAGAGACTGGAAAAATGTCATTGTTTTCTCCAGGTTGAGTTATTGTGGTGTCACAGATGAAGGTTGTGTTGCTCTGGCTTCAGCTCTGAGATCA